AGGGGGGTTTGGTTTTTTTAAAATATATTTTAAACTATCTAGTAGCAGGTCTGACAGGCTGATGCTGAAAATGCTTCTCAAGCCAGACTGTTCCGTTTCCAGTAGCTAATGTATGTTTCACTGACTCTCCACAGCATGTTCTTAAGAAGCTTTTGGCTATTACTGAACTGCTTCAACAAAAACAAAATCAGTATTCATTGTCTAATAACATCAGGTAGCAGCCCTCTACCTGAATTCTGCATGGATCCAGCATGCCCAACATGGCGACTCACACCAGTATCACTTTCTTCTTGCTCTTGCCAAAAATAGCACACCCTGTCACATTCCCAGTGATGTGTGAACTATGCAAAAAGAAGACAAAGATTCTGTTGGTGAATGATTGTACCAGCAGCTTTTTAAGCTATCTGTGCAGGACATTTGCACTTTTTTCCACTTGGAAACAGTTTTCACAACCTCTGAGCCTTGGTGTACAGTTCACCTTCCGCAAAGAAAATGCTGTGACTGTGTCTTGAACTTGGAAAATTATTTTCAGCACCTCTGATTGCCAAAGTTATGCTGTCTTGTTGGAAAAGGATGATCAACTGACATGGAAAGAAATGTGTTGTTCTGACAGCTGCATATAACTGGATAACATTTCTTACTGTAATTTCTGACTGGTTACAATAATTATGACTTTTGACTGTTTCAACCACTTTAACTTGTATTTACAGTTTCCAGAATTTGATGTTATGGTAGGAACAATCTTTACTGTACACTTTTTATACCATGCTGTTTCTCTTGCTGGAATCATGTTGAGAGAGAATATGCAGAGTGGGTCTTGTCAGCTTTATTTTTTGATGTGCCACTGATTCAGTCTGAATAGTTCTTCCATCAAGAACTATATAGCCAGATAAATCACAATGCTTTTGTAAAATGTTTACAACAGTAAATAATTTGACTTCAGTAAATTTATTGATCATTGTATCAGACATGCATGCATCCATTAAACCATTTTATAAAATATGTATTGGTTGGTCTTTTGTGTACTGTAAGTCTAGCATAAATACTATTTTTATAAGTGAAAAGTTAAGTTTTTAAATAAATCAAGCTGCAGATCAACTCTTTATGGAAACTGGCTAACTTTGGCTGCTCTGGAAGTTTTTTACAGTGTCTGCACATGATGTACTTTGAAATGTTCATGCAGTGTCATTTTAAGCATGAATCCTCAGAACAGCATTACCTGTCCATATGCCTTAATTTGTACGTATCTCTCACGGGGCGAGAAAGCAGATGTTAAAACTGTTAAAAAAAAATTAAAAGTCAAATACGCAGTTGATTCAGAAGGTTTTTCGGCATCACCATTTGTAACTTTTCTAGGCAGCGATCTAATAAGGAATAAAAGGATGCTGAGATTCACTGAAAAGACTAATAAGATAATCACATAAATAATTGTGTAATACACAGTTGTTATACCACTGAACAACTGCACTGTCCCTCCTGTCTCTTAGAACTGCTTTGTCAATTCACTGTCACGCTAAATTGTATAGACTTTATCTTTGGTGTAACATTAGTGAACGTCTTCTAGGTTTGCAGTTGGCTCTTGCTCCAGATGGGGCAACTTCTGTGCAGGCAGGTGCCCGGTGCTGTAGCTGAGCTCTCCTGAGTGTCACAAGTACTAACTACATGTGGTAGACAGGTGGGGCTCTTAATACAGCCTAGTGAAGGCAGACCTCTGTTTGCAAGACCTTGGTTCTACTGAATTCTTTTTTAGATCGTCTGATAAAACCACGGCTTGACTTACCACTGTCAGGAGCCTGTATTAAACTGCATCTCAGAGGAAAAGGTAATTATCAATCTTTCTTTTTTTCTGCCCTACTTTGTTCTCTCTATATACTGTTAGGTCACACAAGTCACAGCCCCAGTCTGTAACATTTTTTTGTGTGAAGAACTTCTGCTGAGTGCTCTGCTTATAGCTTCCAACCAGTTCAGAACCTCAGTACATGACTTAAACTCTGCTAAGTCACACTTCCTTCACTTGATTTTGAAGGGGGTGTAAATGGTGTCAGGCTTTCTGAAGTGAAATTGCGATAGCTGCTTTTCTTCCCTGACCAGTCAGCTGATGATGCTGGTATAGAAGGATTTGTCAGAACCAGAGTGGATAAGGTGGGTTATTTTGTAGATGCAGGCAGTATAACATGGTAAAACCTAGAAACTTTGGAGAACAGATCTGGCTGGCTATTTACCTATTACATACATGCAAAATGCAGTGGTGAGAATGAAACTAGGAAACTCCTGAAGTTGCATTTAGGTGGGTGTATTGTAGAACTGCTTATGTTCTAAAACACTGTATGAAAAGGAAGTAGACTTTGCTCCAGATTTGGAAGACATCTCACTACTTAGGAAGATTTCAGAAATAATACTCTTTTCAGTTGCCCCCAGATAAGTTAGCCTCAGTAACCTTATCTGAGATCACTGCTGCAGCGTAAGTCACAAAGGTACGATTATTGCTTTCCATGTTGTAAAATACATCACTGCAGCCTCTTAGTACATTTGCAAGGAGCTCACCAAATGTACCAAGTGTAATGGGCACAGCTGTATTCTTCTGGCTGCTTCAATGACAAGCTTGGGAAAAGGGGAGCACGTCTAAAGCACACAGGGGTTGTTACCAGATCCGTCTCCTGGTTGCATTTATCCAGTTCACTAAAGGTCCAGTTTGACATTACCTACTGCCATGCTGTAATCCTACACTTAGTCACATCTCTAACTGTTCCTGAACCAAAACTCTTTCCTGAGTAATGTATGTCTTAAAGTAAACATTTTTTACTAATGTTTGACCTTGAATGGATGAGGGTTTAATGGAACTGCAACTAATTATTTTAGCAAGGTCAAGTGCTTTATTACAAAGATACCAAAAACTGACAGAATAAATACCCCATGACAGAGATTAAGGAACCTGGGGCAGAGAGGTTCACATCTGACACCAAACAGTAGTTTCTACAGTGGTAGAATTCCATCTTCCTTTGAGGTTACAGTGAGTCCGCAAGATCATCATCAGTCCACTCTTCCTAATGGAAGGGAAAAAAGCAATGCCTTGAGCAACAGGTGAATTTGGTGTGTTTTACAGTAAGGTGGGCCAGGCACTACCTAACTGTAGGTACATGGCACTACTGCACCTGCTGTCACAGTAACTTCTGCTATGTATGCCAGGCAAAGAGAATTTAAGTAACACAGATAACTTTTCACATCTCTGAACTGTGTCTGCCATCAGTAATAGACTTAAATAGTAAGTTTAAACTGATTTTAAACACAGTGCTTGTCCACATTATGTGAGAGATGAACATTTCTGCCAGGATGCTCGACCATGCTTATCTTATACACTCCACTCTACTTCTGACAACCAGCAGCAGTTGTCAGACCTGGTTAAATTACAAGGCTAGCTCAAACTGGAAATAAGAATTCATGCCAAGGCCTACACAGCAGTTACTTGACAAAATGCATGTTAAGTTCCCCTTCAGATTCTCATTGCGTGCCTGACCCAAGGTCATGGCCAAGAACTGCTGAACAACATGAAAGAGTATTTCCTTTCCTTAGACTCGCCATGATCTGGACTTCTGCTCAGACCTGCTCCCACTGCTAAACATGAGCACAGTTACAGGAGTTACTTTAGGTATGCCCTAGTCTGTTGTGAGACTCCAATTAAGTTTTGATTCCTGGGTTTACTTGAAATGTTTCTTGCGCGCCCCTCCCAGGTAATATTACCCAGCGTGCTCAGTGTCCTGTGCAGGGAATAAAACAGAAATAACTTAGTCAAGTAAATATATCAAAGGGAAGATTTTTTTATATATATTTATTCTAGCTAATAGGGGCTAATCCCAGAACACAGGATTGAAAGCCTCCTGGGACTCAGCCCTACTTCTTGCTTCTGCAAGCATGCCACAATACCTACCAAGAACACCACCACCCTCCCCCACCAAACCCACACCAAAAAAAGCTGTGGTCTTTACAACCAGGCTTTAGTACCTAACAAACAGAAGTATTCCATGAACAGAAAAAAGACTAAAAAAAATATTTTAACTGGTGGTGACAAAGCGCTTTAACCTTAAAGCTAGTTATCCATGCCTACTCTTAAAGTCATGGAGACAGTAATTTTATCAGCCCCTTTTCAACCTTTCAACCCGTGTTTGAGGTTTAGCTCATGCTTCTTCATTATGGACAACCGTGTAGAGATTTCCACAAGAGCACATAGTGCAACCTTTCATTAATATCTTGTGCTTTTTATGGCTTCATCACTTTGGCAGCTGAGTCATCAGTGCTCAACCAGTACTCTGTGTGTTTCTTCTATCATTTCAAATTGATGAGCTCTCCATACCAGTTATGGCCTTGCTATTGTATTAGCTTCAGCTGTAAACTATTCACTCAAGAAACAAAATCTTACAAATACATTAGAACTGATGGTGCACTTGTATACTACAGCCTGATTACTTTCAGATATAAATATCCTTACTATCAGCTAACTGCGGGATTAATGAAGTCTCAAGGTTTGAGCCATATGCACATACTGTAAGCTTTCAAAAACTTAAAACACCCTTTCTCCCTTATGTCCGGGCAGCTCAGATCTGCTCTTGCGTGTGATAATTACTGAGAAATGAAACTACACAAGTACAAACCCTTGGCAGTTCAGATAAATCAGTATTAAAAAATCCTAAGTTTCAGGAGCTGTTAAAACTGTGCAAGAGCGTATCGTGAAATGTTGTACGCTATGTGAATTCATCGAGTTTATTCATTTGGAAAAAGAACTGTGAATATAATTTAATAAGAAACCCCCAAATCAAAACTGCCTTAAACCATAGCAGCATAACTAAAATAATACCCCCTTCAAATTAAACTGGGGCAGGCAAGAAGCAAGTCTCCAGAGCTTAGTTGGCACTGTTCTCCAAGTCATTTTGTGAGAAAGTGAAAAGTTATGAAAGTGGTAGTTTTACAGAATTGCCAGTTTCAATATGCTTTTTAAGACTGGCATTTGGAGTAAACACTAGTCAAAGTTTTTACAGCATTAAATAGTTACCATAAAATATGCTTGAGGTTCCACATTTTGTTACAGCATACTTTCAATGATGATTTTACCATAATCTTGTTCAAATCATTTAGGGTCTAGTTTGACATTATAACATCATGATAATTTATAATAGCAAGACTCCTTTAATTATAAAAAGACACAGCCTGCATTTTATGTTAAGATTTTGATGGACAACTCTAGCTGTTAGCAAGTTTTTCTAAACACCATACTTCAGGTGTCGTACACTATCAGGATGTACAATGTCTTCAGTATCAAGGAGTCCAGTTAAAAAGGGTTCTTCACAAAGCTATTCTTCCACCAGAATGTATTCTCTCCAACTTCCAGTCACGTTACAAATGAAGCCCTAAAAGGTGTTCAGATTAGGTCTGAAGGATTACCTTAGTTCTATTTTCATTTGTTGAGTCACCCTCCTCAGTCTATCTCTACCTTATATATACTTGGTCTTACAACCTGAGGTACTAGCTACCTGTCTGTAATTTATGCACGCCTTGCTAGCAAATGGGCTGACGTAGAAATTTAGTTCAGCAGCTGACTTCTGGTTTGTGCAAGAAGCTAAAGTAAATGGAAACAGTTTCAGAAACACTGGCCAGCAGAAAAAACACCACATAAAACTTCCGTGAAAAAAGCCTGTTTGAGTATACTTCAGCATCTACTCATTTATTCCATCCTGAGGAGCGAGTTTCCACCTGTAGAGGTTGGATTTCTCCTCAAGTGTTCAGTTCCTGGCCTTCCAAAACCTCCTTACATTGCAGTATTCCAAATTTCAACTTCACAGCTATTTCCCCACACTGGGATCATGGAGTGCTACATGCTGAAAGTACTCAGCTTGACATTGTTCTATGGTTTGTCAAAAGACTTTCAAAGCACAGGAAAGAGCAGGAAGGATGGCCTCTGTGTTCTTCCCCCTCCCCACAAAAGACTGGGGTATTTAAGAACACTCCCAGAAGTCTGTCTCAGTAACTGTGTCACTTTTGTCTTGGCAGTTAGAGTGGAAAGACAAGTACTTGTACAATAGGTTTACTGACCTCATCCGTTTTAGGTTTCTTTGTGACATACTCATCATCTTCATAACCTTTCCTCTTCTTCCTAACACCCATCCAGAGAAAAAGTGAAATTTTTAGTTTTTTTCTAAATCAGAGTCTCCCTATTTGTCACAAAAAACAATATCAAAGCCTCAACTAGCAACTTGCTGGAAGTTCCTAGTGGGTACTAAAGTGAAAGCGGCAGAAAAGAAAAATCAGGAAGTCCTTTGCCATCCACATAAGTCTTAAGAAAACATAAACCCTTTACACAATTCTTGTTTTAATCATGTGACTTTAAAGCCCTTGATTGTCATTACATATGACATCAAGTGGCCAGATCTTAGAAGCCACCCAGGATTCCAGTTCGATGGTACAAAATAATCAGTATTACAGCTTGCAGTGCAAATTGGCACAAAAGGCCATATTTACATATTACTGAAAGCACTACTGAGTCTTGGTACTCAGCTTCGAGTAGAGACTCACATGGTAAGCATGTGAACAGACATCCTTCTGTGTACATTTAGATGTTTTCATTTTCAGTCACTCAGATCACCAAAAAATTATGTTTCTGTAGCAATAAAAAAGGTGAAAGTTTAAAACATCAAAGAGTAAGTATCTACTTACGGGTTTGTATTAAGTGAAAGCTCCAAGCTGTGACACTTCTCTAATTTCTGTTTTAGAGCAGCAACCTCCTCAGGCCTTGGCAGTTCATATTTCTTTATGAGATTTTTCATGCCTACAGTGGAAACAACACAGCACTAAGCACATTAAATAATTTCTACTCTACCTTGTTGTATTGTGTGTGTGTGGTGAGGTTTTGGTAGCGGGGGGAGTTACAGGGGTGGCTTCTGTGAGAAGCTGCTGGAAGCTTCCCCCATGTCCAACAGAGCCAATGCCAGCCAGCTCCAATACAGACCCGCCGCTGGCCAAGGCTGAGCCCATCAGCGATGGTGGCAGCACCTCTGGGAGAATGTATTTAAGAAGGGGGGGGGGGGGGGAAGTTGCACAACAAAAAACTGCAGCCGGAGAGAGGGGTAAGAACATGTGAAAGCAACAACCCTGCAGACCCCAAGGAGGGGAGGAGGTGATCTGGGCACTGGAGCAGAGATTCCCCTGCGGCCCATGGGGAAGACCCAGGGAGGTCCACAGGGCAGCAGGGGAAGAGTGATGAGTCCTGCCCCTGAGGAGGAAGGAGCAGCAGGGACAACATGTGATGAACTGACCCCAACCCACATTCCCTGTCCCCCTGTGCTGCTGGGCAAGGAGAAGATGGAGAAAATGGTGAGTGGAGTTGAGCCCAGGAAGGAGGGAGGGGTGGCAGAAGGTGTTTTAAGATTTGGTTCTATTTCTCATTACCCTACTACAACTGGATTGGTAATAAACTAAAGTCATATCCCCAAGTTGAGTCTGTTTTGCCCATCAGGGTAATCCATTGAGTGATCTCTCCCTATCCTTATCTCAACCGAGCCTTTTGTTATTTTTTCTCTCCCCTGTCCAGCTGAGGAGGGGAGTGATAGAGCAGCTTTGGTTGGCACCTGGCCTCCAGCCAGTCAACCCACCACACTCGTGAATTACACAAGTTTATCAGTCAGTAGTATGGCTTATCCCTCATAGGTAAGCTTGAGCCAACACTTTACCCTCTCTTCCCTCATTGTAACAGGAGCACAGTATACATTTTCAAGCAGCTTCTACTAGGAAAAAAAAACAACAAACCCCACCCTACACCAAAAAAATCAAAATGGTACACAGAGAAAAAGGAGAATCAAGAATTTCCAAGTCCACACCTCTGTGAGGTTTTGAAAGCATTCTATCTAGTTTTTAAACAGACTCAAAAAGGCAACAGGGAACATACTGCTAATAGTTGAGACAGAAAGCTTATCAAGTAAAATCTTTTTCAAGCATTAGACATTCAAAATATTAACTCCTCTCAAACTGCTTGCTTACATAACTTCTCATCCCACATAGCACTCAGTTTTCAGAGGATCAAAGACTGCATATGTAAGACTTAACTACCTTCTTACATCTGAGGATTAATTCTAAACAACATCAAGATACAGGAGAAGCTGAGCACAAAGTACTACACTGAAGCAAGTTTTTATCATTGTTGATTCTGGATTTCCTCAAGGTAAATTATAATAATACAGAGTTCATATTACTCTGCTAACAATCATCAAAATATACAGATATTTTTTTGCATTCAGCATTGTACTTCAGTCTTAAAAAAAGAAAAGATTGGTCCCAGTCTTGTTAAGAATGCAAATTTAATTTACAGCTACACTGCAAGAAACAAGATTTTTTCCTCTACCACCAGTTCTCTATAAAACTAGTAATTTACAGATGCTTCAAAATTTCCTTCCAGCCATCATATGTTTACAGAAGGGCTGCCTTTGGGCTAAAGCTACTGTCCAGAATAACGCAAGTGAAGAATAAGTGATCCCAGCATTCCCTTTGCATCTCAGCAATGAAAACCTGAAGACTGGATTTGTTAGCAGGAAGAGAAAGGGAAGAGCAGCTTAAGTTTTATAAATTCAATTTAAATTGAATTTGTAGACCCCGGTGACTTGTATTATGCATTCACTACTCAAGTCAGCTCAAAGGACTGCATTTTTTATGCTACCACTCTCCCATTTTAAATGTGTGCATTACCTTAAAGCATTAAATAACTGATTACTTACTGATTTTTTAATGAAATGAAAAGGCTGGGATAAGAAAAGGTAATATCAGTGTACTACATTCCCCATTATCTTAGCTAAACCATGCTAGCATTCTTGGTATTTTTAATATGTATATGTGTGTGCATATACATATACACTTCTTACACCAGCAAACCTAAACATCTTTTGAAACACCTTTAAAGCTGCAAAACAGAAGTAAAGAATAAATCCTGGCACATCACTGAACATTAATCATTTAGCTTAGAAAAGGTACCCTCTGGTGGTAGAAGTAGTTATGTGCAGGCTTTTGCCTGAAGCTGTAATTTAAGACACAGTGACTGAAAACCGTAATTTCATCCTGAGTTACAAAAAACATTATCTAGTTCCCAAAATAGATTTCTCACTTTTAAGTCAGTTGCTATCACTTAATTGACTTATGTTCTGAGAAGCATCAGGCCCTTTGCCTTTTAATCTCATTTGTTTGTATCATAGGAAGGTCTCGATGTTTTCTCCCCTTGCATCCACATGCAAGGTACTTCACTCTACTGCCCATGTTTTACTTACCTTACGTATGCCCTGAGGTGAAGAAAACCACTGGAAGCACACCTTTCTGCTTAAAGCTTTTGTTGTTTGGAAAAAGGTGTTTTTCTTCTTTTAGAGATACTGTTTATCATATTTTTCCAGTGTTTACTTACATTTCATGCCATCTAGTAGCTTGGCTAAGGATATTCGGTTTTCTTTCAGCATAAGACTTTCTGACAAATAACTGCAAAGATACAAGGAAGAATAAGTTCTTAAAGTGTCATAATTATTTGTGGCAGCTACCATTAGTTAATAAAACGTATACTATTTATTATCTACATCTGCTAGAGCTTTATGATTAGACTTAATAAGAACACTTCGGTTACATAAGTGCTATAACATGATAAAAAGCTTATCTGTCACTTGCAACGTTCTTCTTCCCTAAGAATGTGACAAAAGTATTCCCTGGCCGTGTAAAGAACCAAAGTTCCAACACTGCAGAATTAAACATTTGTAAATAAGTAAACCTCACTGAGTTAAGTCAACTTACGTTTAAGATTCTATGAAGTGTCATGCTAACATCACACTATTGCACAATATGACTGCAGGAAAAGCGAATACTACAGAAGAGTAGTCTTCAGACAGACCAACAGACAGCAAAGCTTGTAAGATGGGACTGCTGCTTTTGGCAGCTGAAAGCAAATCCTAAATGCTGTCTTGTAAAAGTCTGGCAGGTCCCTTCCTCTTCCCTCAGAGATTCAAACCTCCTTTTAGTAAGAACATTAATACATACACACATCACCTGGTTAAAACCCCAACACACAGGAGCAACAATCCTCACCAAGATCCACAACAACCAAATAGCTTTATCCCTTCCTGGGAAGGGCACTTATGGATAAATTACAAAAATCCAAAGAGTCCAAAGTATATCAATCTGTTCAGTCTGTGTTAACTTCAAACTTACTTCATAGACATACACAGCTGTATCACCTGCAGCTCCCAGACTGAGGCATCAGCCACCATGAAGACAGTAATTGCTATAAGCTGAGAGCGGCTCCGTTCGTTAGCATCACTGCTCTTGCAGAACTCAAACTTAAGAGTATTATTTAACCTTGTGCTGTTACCAGAACTGTTGGAGCCACTAATAGCCAGAGCACTGTGGCACCTCTTTTTTCCTGAAGCTCTTTTTCAAGACTGACCTATACATGGACATCATGGAAGCAACAGGTTTTCAAATCTTCCATGTTCCATCCCTCTTCTGCAGGCACACCTACTCACAGGTCCACAAGACCCGAGCTGCAGCATTAGCTTCTCTCATGTCCACCAGCTCAAACTCACATAAAACAACAAATGACAAGGTTACAGCAACTGTATAGTGCAGACAGGTGATGAAGACTTGAGTTCTTCATGAATACGCAAAGATAAAAGTTCACGTACCTTGATGCACACACTATCTGCAAATTATTGTAGTTCTTTTTGTAAGCATGCTTTTCTGAAATTTGGCACAAGTAGTGCAGAATATAAATTCAGGAATGAGATCAACAAGTTTCAAGTTATAGTCAGCACCTGAACGTTTTTACACTATTCTGAAAGGACAGTGAACCCTGTAGAGGATGCTCCCACACCATCTCGCTCTTTTAGAACAAGAGAGATTTGAGATTCATTTAGAGCAGGCAGAAGGAAAGCTTCTTTAAAAAGAACCGTTTGAATTTAGCATCAGCCCTTGTGCTTGCAAGCTTTACACTCTAGATACAAAATGCTCACACAGAGCATCACATGATTAAAACACTCCAGATAGAGCTACTTACAGCAACTACCTCACTTGCTTTTTGAGGAAGAGTATGTTTTGTCCTTAAAAAGGACCAAACCAAACAAACCATACATTTCAGCAACGATATCAAAGTGTTTGATAATGCCTTTGCAAACACCAGTGGCTAGACCACACAAAGGAAAGAAGGGACTGATTTCAAACAGCACTTTATCATTAGTCCATTTCCACAGAAAGTCAACAGTTGCACCAGCCGAATACACCACTTAGCTGCGCAGGCCTAGCAGCTGTCAGTTCAGTGTAATTTCATTTGACTCTGAAACCTTAGATACCTTAAAAATCTTACTTTTTTTTTTAAGTGATTCTTTAAGTGTTTCATACTCTTAGTTTCTACTGTATTTCCACCTTATTCACTCTAATCTTCAAGGTAAGTCTGAAAATCCTTTGCTGTTCTAATTAGGGCATAGTCATCAGTTTGAATTTTTTTTCCTTCTTCCAAAGGAATATAAAAAGCAGACACCAACTAATGGCATTTATCACCTACTTTTTGAAAATGGAAAAAAACCCCAAACCAGTACCGTCTCAGTTTTGAAACGTACTTAAAGAATATACCACAATGCTAACAATCAGTAAATACACACTTCTACTAGTTAAGAATGTCTAAACCAGAACAAATTTATACATGAAGCAAATAAACTGTTTAAATCATACCTATAGCAAAAAAAAGAGACTACCTTTCCATATTAATTCCTGCTCTTGAACCACTAGATAATATGGCAGTGAGAGCTATCTGAGAGGGAGGAAAGAGCAGGTATGCATCTGTCAGAGCCACTCGATTGAGGAAGTCATCGGCTGCTTTCCGCAAAACTTCAGGATTCTCCAGCATTGGATAGCGAGTCTAAAAAAATAAGTATTTAGGAAAGTAAGTAGCTGTTCCTCATCTTCTGGTTCATGAGCTCAGAACACACAGTTCAACAATATTTGGTAAAGCTAGAAAGTAGCAGGTCATCTTCTTATTCCAAAAATAATCTAAAGTGCTTAAAGACCACAACTAAACTGACTTCCTTTCAGATATTTGCCAGCCACTTTAGAAATGAGATCTTTTCAGATCACAGGCACAAAAGGAAATAAAGTTTTCTAATACAACCCACAACAGATTTATATTATGTTAGTATATAGAGTATGTAGCATATAAAAAAATACTACCTTCAAATCAATTAGAAATCCCTCAAAAGGCCTGTATGGATTGTGGACAATAAGATGGAAGTTCAGTTGCTGAATAAGCAGTAGTTCATATTCCAGTATTTGTTCAAGGGCTTTCTCCTGTCCAAGAGGGCTTTCTCGAAGGTTACCAACAAACTGTGCGCTGGACACATTAAATTCATCTACTTTACAGGCCAAAAACGCACATGTTAGCCTTGAGGAGGGAAAAAAAAGGCAAAGAATTCACATATGCAGCATCCATCTTTTTATCAAGAGTTCTGTTCAGAAAATTTTTATCATCAAAACACCATGTTCTGAACACAGCAAACTTTTCCAAATGGAAACTAAAAGTGACCATACTTTGTCTTTACTCATATTTAAGCTCTCAGATTTCCTTTCTCATTTTTTCAGGTCTTTACAGATATAAAGAGTATACCCACAATGTTCTGCTTGACAGAATAACTCAGGATGTGTTGATAACTCACATGATTATCCGAGGATGATACTCCATCACCGAGTTATTGAGGTAAAAGCGCTTGAAATACATGCTAGCTGTTCCCTAAATTAAAAAAGGAGGGAAAAGTAAGTATAGAAGCCAAAATGGATTAAAAAAAAAAAAAAAAAATTACGAAACAGAACAGGCAAGTTTGAATATATACTATAGACATACAGGACACACTAAGGCACTAAGATGCACACAATGCAATTAATGTCATTAAATATTTCGAAGTCTAATACATTTATGCCTGCAAGAGCCTTGCAAAATGGCAGCTTGATTACCTCTTCCTCCATTTTTAGACATATTTAGGAAGACAATGCTCAAAAAGCCTAACATATCTTCATGAGAAAAATCTGGTATTTAAATGAAACTTAAAAACCAAAGACTGAAAAAATTATCCTGAAAGTTGTGAGTAATCCCAGCCAAGACACGTGCCTTTTCAGATCAGTAAATTTCCCAACATGTTTAACATTTATGCTTCTCTGTGTGTCTAGAAGCACTGCAGTCAATGCCAAATTTCCAAGCTGATCTGAACGCCATAGGCATGAAAGCAGATGTTTTCCAAAACCATTACTTGGTGAGTCTGATCCAGCACACATACTCTACAGGGGCGACTTCTGAAATATAAGGTCTAGCTCCACAGAGCATGTAATCACAGCCTACTGCTATGTGTCAAACGCATCTTCAGACAAGACACTCTTCATCTTTGTTATTCACCACACCTGCCAGAAAACAGGAGGACTGACAGGGGGCAATATAGGTTATACATCTTAATGGCTAGGTAACAAAAGAAGCACAATTTCATTCCCTGCTTCAGCTGTAAGTCCCCACTCTCTCTCTTCTGAAATGCACTCTTCTGCTTTCAAGATAAGTCAGTTCAGAGATAAGGTTGGGTTTTGTTTTGGTTTTTTTTTTTTTCCTTTGTAGGTTAGTTTACAGCCAGTACTGATGCTTGAGCCAGCTTACTTTGTGGTCAGACAAGCACCAATGCTTGAGAAACAACTGGACAACAGCCCAACTTTGGGGCTGCCTCCTTTAGCTACAGCGGGATCATTTCATTGTATCCTCCAGTCCGCGTATTGTTAGGTTTGCTTCTCCTCTTTGCTTAAAGGAGAGGAACGAAAACAGCAGTCATCCAGGCAAGCGTTAACAGCCACAAGAAACGGATGAAACTGAGAAATAACCCTCTGTTTTTGAAACAGCTGCACAGCCCAGAGAACAGAAAGAGATAAAAAGAGGTCTGAAACACAAACTGCGGCACTGGAAGACAAAAAAAAACTTGAAAGCCATCTACGCTCCCAAGAACAAGACAAGCAAGCAGCAAGCGAAGCAACAAGAGTCATGGCGGGGGGGGGTAAGGCCTGGAGCTCCGTCACCCACCACACCGCAGACCCTCAGCGGACCAAAGCCGCACCGAGCAGGCACCGCTGCTTACCACCACGGATCTCGGCATGGCAGGCTTGAAGACGGCGCAGAACTCCAGCAGCCTCTTCTCGTAGTACTTGCATATCGCCAGCTCCTCCTGGGGCTCCAGAAGGACAGGGTCGGTCTGCTGGACCTGGAAGGGGAGCGAAGCTGAGCCTGACTGAGGGGCTGCGCTCCGGCACGAACGCCTTCCCTCCCCCCCGCTTCTCCTCCTCCTCCTCCCCTCAGAGGCGCAGGGAGCGCCGGCCGGGAGGAGGCCGCGGTACCTCTCCCCGCCACCCCCCCAACTCCCCTCAGGCTCCCGCACCTTCCCGCTCGTCACCGCTTTTCCGCGGAACTTGCGGTTGGCCTCGGCCCGGCACCGCGCCAGCTCCTCCTCGCCGCGGAAAGTCCAGTGCCGCCGCTGCGTGCTGCTGTGGTACATGACGGCCGAGGAGGAGGAAGGAGGAGGAGGAAGAACGAGGAGGAGGATGGCGGCGCCCGCGCTTTGTGGCAGCTCGCTTCACGGCGTGCGCGGGGCCTGCCGGGAGTTGTAGTTTTGGCGGGAGGGCCCAAGGAGGCGGCGGGGAGCTGACTGAGGGCTGCCTGGGGCGGGCGTCCGCGGGGGAGGCGGGCAGCCGTGGGCTGAGGGAGCTGGGAGGGCGGGAGGCAGCGCTGAGGGGCGGGGGTGTGAAGGTAAGGAGCCCTGCGGGAGGCGACGGGAAAGGCTCTGGCCGCCGCTGGGGGCAGGGAGCAGCGGGAGTAGGCCGGAGCGAGGGACTTCTCCTGGGAGGCCGAGCTGCGAAACACCCGCACAGAGCCGCCGTTCGTCTGTCACGCCGGGTCGTCTCATGAAGTAAAAAGTCGAGCTTGTACGAGTAAGGGAGGTGGGATGGGGCCCGGGGGGGGGAACGCGGTGGAATGCGTTACAGCGTAGGAAACCCTGACAACGAGGAGTACTTTTTTTGGTGGGGTTTTTTTTTCCCCTCGTGAAAATGGTGTAGCAAGAGGACTTGTTGCCCGGCACGAAAGCTCTGCGTGGCGTGGAGAGCCCTGGCGGTGCCAACAGGGACAAAACCTCCGCTCCCAAAATCCTCTGGGGAGCACCGTGGCCGGCCCTGTCCACGGGGGGTGCGGAGGGTTTAGCTGACAGTGGTCCCGGGTATGTGGGGTTACAATAATGCATGGCTGTAAAACGCTGCTTCACCTTTTTTTTTCAGGCTTTTTAAAAATAGCGCGAAGCATGCTGACATGAAAAAAAGTAATTCACTGTTCAGTTTCCACCCATGTAGCTATGAAACCATGTAATTTGTCAACATCAAATAGTAATACTGTTAGGAGAAAAAAGTAAGCAGGGAATCCTTATGTTACACCAAACAAAATCAATCTTGGTGGGTTTTCAAAGAAATATGTGAGAAAAAACAGTCCTCTAGCCGCTCTTCTAGTCGGTAGTCCTGTCTCGTGTCAGGGTTGATTCAGTTATTGTTCATCATGTCCCGCAAGTTGATGTATGGTTTCCATGAATGTCGCTATGAAGGGGATTTAACAACTTGTCGCGGTAGCTTGTCCCATCACTTCAACAGTGGTGTGGTTCCCCCAGTAATTTGCATATTGTCCCTGTTGCCACTTTCATTTTTGATAATTATTCCACTTCTTTTATATAGGCAGGCCAATGGCATTGACATTTAGATACAGACACTTGAGTTTCTATTCAGTCTTTTTTTCTAAACAGCACATACCCAGCTGTCAGTACTTTCTTTATACCGGTCTTACCTTGCAAACCTTTTGCCATTCTTATTTCTTACTTTTTTTCCCACTATTGTTTAAAAGAGAAAGTTAAAAAATGAGTTACCAGATGACTGTGGTTCTGGCCACACATTCTGCTTCTGCCACAGTGTGGGTTGACCCCATCAAACTGATGTCATTGTGTGTGTTTTCCTCATCTCACGTTCTTTACAGGTGCCTCAGTTTGAATCCAAGGGGCTAATTCTGTTCTCATTCAAATCAATGACACAATTCCTAGAAATTTTAGAGAGTTATATTTCATTTTTCCCTGAGTATAAGGATAATCAAATTCCTATTATTATTATTATTAATTATTATTATGCCTAACTGCAGATACTAACTAGCCTAAAACCATGGTGGTGATACATTCAAAGGGTTAACCTTGTTGATGGTCCTGGAGAGGATTAAAAGCCTTAGAGGGGAAAACACATCAATTTATTACCACATGATTTTAGTATTTGCTGTATTTAATGCTACTGAGGATTTGTCAGTAGTCCCAAATTTAATGTTTGAAATACTGTGTTTTAGTCCTCACTTTGTTGAATATATGAATATAATATCATAGGGACTTCTACTTGACTTTGCAGTGTTTGACTATCAATTTTCCTAACACTGAAGCTAGTTAAAATCAGATTCTTGCCTTTCTTGCTTATGCTGTGTAGTACTTTATTTTTTATTTGGTCTTACTGATACCAGTGAGATTATCTTGTTGAAGGAGCACTATTCTGTATTGGCAAATGTACTGGTCATTCAAACCAGTACAAAATGTATTTGTATATAGCTATAATTCACTTACATTGAATGTGCAATATAGGGACATAAGTGTTAGGATTCTCAGCAAAACCACAGACTTTAAATAAGCGAAAAAGGACCAAAACCAACAGTTTGCAATTCCTGAGCTTTGTATTTTTTAAATATTAAGGAAAACCTTTTGCATTTAATAATGTACAACTTCAAAAGCGTATTAAATGTACAGTGTCAAAGAAATCACAAATCATGGGACCAAAGCTTAAATAAGCTGAGGCAGAGATGTTTGTTTATTCTTAAATTAAAGGCATCACATTCATTCAGCAGTGAGGGCTGAGTTCCTTCAGGGCGATCAGAATTGTATGCTCCTTTTGATACCGTGCAGGGCATCTGTTGAAGTCAGTGGAAGATTTGCCTGAAGACCAAGAGCCAAAGCTGGCTTTTATGGAGGAGAGTGGGTTTTTTTGCTTCTTCACTGACATGTCCTGAATCATTCATGGAGAAAGTTCTGTTGCTTCCATCCCTTGTCTCTTACTTTTCCTTCTCTATTTCTCCCTTCCCCTTCCTGACCTTGCCTTGGTGTTCTTGACCTTCCTTTTTAATTTCTTCACAACTCCATTCTTCCCACCCACTTCATTCCCAATATGTCATCTCATATGAATATAATTAAATTATTTATACTGATGCTGAAAAGTCATCACTGGATTTCTGGACTGATGGTACTCCGAAGTTAAGAAGAAACTGAGGATGTGGACCTCTGAGTCATTCACTGCAACTGTCTTCATATTCAGAAAGCACTGTTGTGGCATGTTTGCAAAGATTTCTTTGGAACCAACTGCACTTGAAATTTACTTTAAAAGTGAGAGCACTTAGACACTGCAGAATAAGCAGATTTCTTGAAGGCCACATAAATAAGACAAGTAGGCCACTTCCAGCCTAGAAGATGTGTGTTGAACACCTCTGGGTTAGGTTTTTCAGCATTTCAAACACTTTCTTTAAGGTTTACAATCATGGAAAGCCAAGATAGTATGTGGATCAGTAATTTTGTGTGTAGTTAGTCCAGGCAGATACCACTTTTGGAAATAAATCCAAGCTACAACATGAGATCCAGGTCTGGACCTGAATTGTACCAGAATGTAGTGCTCGGAGCTGGGGCTTTGGTTCACTTTAACATAAAGGAAAAAAGTTGTTACAAAGGTAAGGTTTGATGTGAACTCCCCTAAATTTCAGTGTTATTTGCTGCTGGAGTTCTTTCCGAGACCTTACTTCAAATTGCTATGTGATTGCATGGTGATTGGAAAGGATAAAGATAGGTTGCTTTTATTAAAGATCTGTCAGTTGTGTTGACCCTGCAGGTACAGCCTGCAGAGATCTATGAGCTCTCTTTCCTGTCCTAAGGCATAAAAGTACTGAAAATTAAATTTACTTTATGTGATTACTTCATGTGCTTCTGGCCATGGCATTCTAAGAAGCCTTTACATGTGAGCACCTCGTATATGAAAGCACGGTGTGCCAGTCTCATCCTTTTCCCCGTGCTTCTGCCATGCTGTGATGTTGTCTCTCGGTGAGGCAGTGGGAAGCCAGACAGATGTGGAGCACACAAGGATTTCGGAGGATATAGTTACCCTGGCAACAATGGCCACGTGGAAGCAGACAAAACTACTTCTGCTCTCATCGTGAGTTTTTGCCCTCTGGTCTAAATGCCGCAGATAATGGAGTTGAATGCTATGCATCTGATTCTGAATCTTTAGTACCTGATGGAATTACAGCAAGCCACAGGAGCTGGAAGCGTCTGAAAATTGACAAATGGCCTTTAGACCACAATAAGAAAAGTTCTCTTTTTCCTGTGAAGAAGTCACTGCTTTCACTATGTTGTTGAGACAAAGCGGACTGAGAGACAAGGTTGAGAATTCATTATCTCTTCTACAGATCATAACAGTGACATGACCAGTAGCAATTATAATGGAGGAAAGATATTCTTTATATCTTTAAATAAATGAAATAAAATTATGTAGAGATGAGAAACTGCTCAATGCTGACAGTGGACCCAGGGGAATCAAAACTCCTTTCTTAAATGCGTATAGTTAATAGAGTTTGGCAGTTTGTATTTTATAGTTTGTGATATTTACTCTTTTTACATTGTTCCTTATTACCTATGTCATCTGTATGTTGTGTGGGAATTGCATAATTTCTATTCATAGCTGTGTTCATAGATGAAAATAGACTTCTAAATTAAAATATTTTCCCGTATTTGTGGTTTTCTGTCTCATCTTACCCAGAGTCCTTTACTGAGAGACTAACCTGACCTGTCCTGTATAGTTGCTTGAACGACTTGATAGTAAAGATCCTCATTTTCTCTACTACTTTAGAGATGTGTTGTGTTGCTTGTTTTCTTGGCTTTCTCCCTCCTTCCTCCTTCTCTTGCATCTTTTTTATTAAAGGGCAGGTGTTTCTGCAAGGGAGAAGGGAGGTGAGATGACTGTCTTTCTACACCGCCCTTTCACTGGAAATAAGACACTTATTAGCCATTGGTCTTTTTTTTTTTCTCTTAAGATGAAGAAAGGGGAATAGAAGTATAACAAGATTTGTAAAATTCAGGACAAGAAATTAAGATATTTGCTCACACCCAGCCCCTCATGGTCCATGAAATAGCAAGGATTAAATAATTTTTTCTCTTCTCCATCTTTGCCATAAGCGTGTTTTAAGTGGGATGTTCTCCCTGTTTCGCTTGGTCACGGTGCCAGAAGAGACAATACCATTTTGAGCAATGGATGGTCCCACGTGCTGGTGCACTATGTCATGTACATTGCCACGTCAGCACCTCCCGTATGCCTCATGGTCTACAGCATTCTGAAAGTTGTTCTTTGCTGGACTTACGGAAGTAGCTCTTCACAGAGCTCAGTGTTGTATAAGTCGGTTTAGCTGGTTTTTTCTTCCA